TGTTGGTAGACGTCCTGCTGGTAAACTGATCGTCCGAGTATACGGGGCAGTTAAGCATAAGACGGCCCAATTTCCGGTAGCACCTCGCCGGAAAGGCCGGTCAGGGATACAGCCGCATTAGAGGAGAGAGCAACAGCTTCGAGCCGTGAGAGGCGGTTTCTTCGCTACCAGTGTTCATTGTGTCTTAGACACGATTGTGATCAAGGACGCCTAAACGTCGCTGAGTGTTCGCGGCGTATATCACAAGCCAGCCATTACAGAAACATAATTCCGCCGAGCCGATGACATCAGCAGTGTTAGACACCAGCACTTGCGAGCAGTTACAGAACGACCACCGACACGAATCTATCACCTGCCAATGTAGCGCATGCGGCGCATGCAAGACTTTGCCAATGGCATCCGCTACCAATGCGACACTCGACCAGTCGTGTCTTCAGATGCCGCTCAAATGCCTAACGGAATGATCTGTTTCCTAATCTCTCGGGACCATTGTTAGTTGCGGAGAGCTACAGAACGACCACCGACACGAATCTATCAGCTGCCAATGTAGCGCATGCGGTGCATGCAAGACTTTGCCAATGGCATCCGCTACCAATGCGACACTCGAACAGTCGTGTCTTCAAATGCCGCTCAAATGCCTCACGGAATGATCTGTTTCCTAATCTCTCAGGACCATTGTTAGTTGCGGCACCAAGTGATTGCGAGGACTCTGCCACGACCCCCTTCTCGTGCACTGTTAGTCAATCAATCATTCGTACACGGAAACATGTTTGCAGGACTTCAGCGCTACTCATAGTAACAGCAGTTGAACCTGCGCGACCCCCCAGCTGCAATTCTTGCCCAGGAGCGGCCATCCAACCCCCTAGCTGCACCACAGTGCCCAAGAGCGGCTGGATCAGCAGGAAGCACTAATAGCTTAAAGCGCCTGTTGAAGGTGTCTGCACAGGACGATAACTAGGCTAGCTCAGTATACAGTTTTAGCTATAGAATGTTACATGGCATAAAACGCCAAGTAGACACCCTTATCCGCAAGTGAAAGCAACCGACGTGGTTTTGGAGACTTTGGTGAGAACAGCGCATACGACTCCAAATCCCTTGGCCTTTGGTCCAAAACCAGAGAAGTGAAAGTAGCAGACGCGATTTTCGAGGCTCTGGGCCCCAAACAAAAGCAACAGATGTGGTTGCGGAAGCCTTAATCCTCAACAAAAGCAGCAAAGGCATTGAGAAACCACCTAATCCCACGTGGCAACAATTGAGACAAAACTATTTCTCTTGCGACCGATCTGAGTCTGAAGGTGTTGCGATTGGAAAAATTTACGAGGTCGGGTTCGGAGCGGAAAACACCTGCTTCAAAAGGGCTAGCCTCACCTTTAAAGCTTTCACCTAACAAGACACCAAACGTCAGTTAGTCACTCTCAGACTCCGAGGCCTCCTGCTTAAGCTTGCGCCTTTTGGCGCAGCTGTGCTCAGCTGAAACTTTGGTAATCAACCCGGCTTTCATCCGGGCATACTGCTGGCACGCGCGGCATTTCCCACGCTCCAAGGGAACACGCTTCAACTTCTGTACAGGGGGGGCTTTCTTGGAGTTCTTGCCAGACTTCCCGGACTTCGCGTCAACTTTGAGCTGGTACTTGGTTACCTTCGCCTTCGCTGCGTCTCGCTTGGCACACGCCTTGTCTACCTGGTCGTGCCGAACTATATACGTACGACATGATAAACTCCATTTGGGGCACTAGGCCAGTTGCTGTTCTGTTAAAATTTTGTGGGACGCGGGCAGATATTGATAAACATTGGGACTTTGAGGGGCGTTCCAATGTTGCAGCATCCTATGTCCTATGCCCTTTCGAGCAGAGGCAGACGACAAGAGGGTTCTTAAACGGTTGGGATGTTCAACCCCGAGCCTCGAGCTCGCACAACTTCAGCTCAAGTTTCGCCGCTACCAGCTTGCTGGAGGCGCCCATTTTTGCGAGGTTCAGGGAAGACACACGCCAAGAGCCGAAAAACTGACAAATGAAAACGTTTCGGCTTCGGTTTGCAAGGCCCGGAGTTTGTCTTCTACAGCGGGAAGGCTTGAAAGCCAACAATAAAAGCCCAACAACCGCAACACAAAACCATAAAACCCCAAGAACAGTTTCTGGCGCCCCGTGCAGTAGCTGCTGAGGGCTGCACCTGGACAGCAAGGTAACCCTGAGCTCGACAACACTCAAGCTCGGCTTTTCAAGTTTAGAATGATAGTTCGCAGTCTTGCGTAGACTCGAAACCCTCAGCCTCAAACCTGACTAACTAAATTTCAAACGTCAAACGCTCACCCTAGTAAGATGCACATGAGCTCAGGCTTTGGTCTCGCGGGTTCACGGTGGATGGCTTCGGGTTCAGGCTTACGGCGATTTGGGGTGAGTTTTTTTTGACAACACGTGGGTTTGACTAGTTTGCAGCTTCAGGCATTTAATTAAGCATTTACGAAGCCAAAGCTAAGCATTTCTTTACAACATTGCATCACCATGCGCTCTTGATAAGTACCACGGAACTGATTATCATAAGGTTGAGTGTATGGTGACAGGGGTTGAGATGTGGATCTTGGAATACAGGGTTTGGAGTGCATGATTTCCAAACCCGCCCGAGATCCTGCAACCCAGCCATATCTTTGCACACGGAACATACTCCACAAAGACACCCACTGCTCGCTAAACCTTGAATTGTCAAGCCATAAATAACAACACCCTTGTACCCCGCAACTCAAACCCAAACCCCGAACCATAAACCCTAAACCCTGGAGCCAGAACCCCGTTGGACCAGTATCGCTACAGTACGATAAGTACATGACACAAGCCAAAAGGGAAATCAAGGGGAAAACAAGGGGAAATGAACAACGGCATAAGGGGAAAAGCACATGCAGCCAGAGCGTAGTTTAGGGGAAGAGTTAGGGGAAATACGACGCAGTTTAGGGGAAGACCTAGGGGAAATTCTGACAGCAGCATACTTAGGGAAAGGAACATCTAGGGGAAACGAGGGGAAAACTAGGGGAAACGAGCCAGCGAAGGGGAACGCAAATAACAGGAAAAATAAGGGGAAACCAGTGAGACAGATCATGAGTCCCATGGAAGCAGATCATGGATATGTTTCCAAAGTGTCCTCGCACTTTAAGTATATCAAGCTTAACTGCTTCACAGTATATTTTGCTACAAGAAGCAATACAACGCAAAAACAAACTTGTCATCGGTTTCAAATTTCGTTACACAGAAAAGCAGAAGCGCTGAAATCTTCAATACAACTTGTTGCTATACGAAAGAATACGATTCGGCTGACTTGGAACACTAGTTTGTCTGAATTCTTGAAAATGATTGAAGTTTTAATTAATCTTGACCCATATTGAAAAACGTCAAGTCGGTGAAAGTCATTTTCAAATCGTGATAAATTTAACGTATTCAATTTGATTGGAACACGAGCCAGGAGGCAGGAAAGAGGGTGAGCATGGGCAGTGCTAGTGGGGAATCTTTTTGAGAAAAAAAATGCCTCTGGGGATCTGGCGTTCTTTTGAACCTTTTGAAATGCAGAAAATTCTAATTTAGACTCTGGGGATTTGGGGTCCCTTTTAAATCTGGAACTCTTTGTAAATTTTTAAAATTTAAAAACTTTTGATTTTTTGAAAATTTTGGCCTGTGGGGATCTGGAATTCCTTTAAAATTTTGAAAAAAACTTGAAATTTTCATTTTTTTTAGAATTTTGGCTTGTGCGGATCTGGAATTCGTTTTAAATTTTTAGAATTGTTAAAATTTTGGCCTGTCGGGATCTGGAATTCTTTTAAAATTTTTAAAATTTTGGCCTGTGGGGATCTGGAATCCTTTTTAAATTTTTAAAATTTTTGAAATTTTTTAAATTTTTAAAATTTTTAAAATTTTGGCCTGTGGGGATCTGGAATTCCTTTTAAATTTTTAAAGTTTTTAAAATTTTTAAAATTTTTAAAATTTTTAAAATTTTGAAAATTTTTAAAATTTTTAAAATTTTGGCCTGTGGGGATCTGGAATTCCTTTTAAATTTTTAAAATTTTTAAAATTTTTAAAATTTTTAAAATTTTGGCCTGTGGGGATCTGGAATCCCTTTAAAATTTTTAAAATTTTTAAAATTTTTAAAATTTTTAAAATTTTTAAAAATTTTTAAAATTTTGGCCTGTGGGGATCTGGAATCCCTTTAAAATTTTTAAAATTTTTAAAATTTTTAAAATTTTGGCCTGTGAGGATCTGGAAATCCTTTTAAATTTTTAAAATTTTTAAAATTTTTAAAATTTTTAAAATTTTTGAAATTTTTAAAATTTTTAAAACTTTTAAAAAGTTTAAGATTTTTAAAATGTTAAAAATTTTAAAAATTTTAAAAATTTTAAAGGAATTCCAGATCCCCAGAGGCCAAAATTTTAAAAATTTCAAATATTTTAAAAATTTAAAAGGATTTCCAGATCCCCACAGGCCAAAATTTTAAAAGTTTAAAAAATTTTAAAAATTCTAAAAATTTTAAAAATTTTAAAAATTTTAAAAATTTTAAAGGGATTCCAGATCCCCACAGGCCAAAATTTTAAAAATTTTAAAAATTTTAAAAATTTTAAAAATTTAAAAGGAATTCCAGATCCCCACAGGCCAAAATTTTAAAAATTTTTAAAAATTTTAAAAATTTTAAAAATTTTAAAGGGATTCCAGATCCCCACAGGCCAAAATTTTAAAAATTTTAAAAATTTTAAAAATTTAAAAGGAATTCCAGATCCCCACAGGCCAAAATTTTAAAAATTTTAAAAACTTTAAAAACTTTAAACATTTAAAAAGACGTCCGGTTCCCCGGCATGAAGCAAAGACTGCCTACGGAGCTTTCCACGTATGTGCTTATATTCGAAGAAGCAGCTTACTCAAATAGCGCAGAGAGGTCCTACGCACATATTCCTATAGACGCCACTGTCAACAGAAAGACGCCTGGAAACTCGCTACAACAAGACTTCTTTAGAGTTTAGGAGACGAATGGGGCGCCTGCGCAGATGGAAAGAAGTGGCTAACGTGGCGACGCCGCCAGAGGGCGAGGCAGCTCCTAAAGTTAAAGTCGAAGTAGAGCCTACGGAGAGGTTCTTCCAAGTCGAGAACCACCTTCACCTCAACCTGAACCTTCGGCTAGGGGCTGTCTACCCTGAGGCCGAGCTGCGCAGAAAATGCCCACAGGACAGGCTCGCGAAACTGGAAGAGTGCTTGTCCGACAGCTCCATGCTGAAAGAGGTCGCAGGGCCGGAGAAGCTGAACGGAGAAGAGCTTAGCCGGCTTGGCCAAGGCTCAACTGCCTCCAAAAGATCGGCTCCCCCCTCAGAGGATGCCAGGCGCCTGAAAAGAAGGGCCCTCAGCAGAAAGCTCTGCCTCGGACAGCTGGTGTGGGACTGCTCCACGCACCCCGCGCGCCCGGCCAGGATCATTGCCATTTGCGCCCAGGAGGAGCGGCCCTTCCTGGTTCGTCATTTGGACACTTCTGGCAGATCCGGTAGCTTTTCTGTGAACGGTGTGGTGAGTGTTAACGGACGCCCGGGCGTTGTGACCTGGGACGGGCGGCCGCATCACGACTTCGCCAAAGTCAGGTTTGAAGACGGCAAGCAAAGCGACGTCCTGCCAGTGTGCAGTCTAGAGGCCCACAAGCCGCCCGTGGAAGAGCAGGTCTTTGTGTCAGACTTCGATCTTGAGTCCCTTGAACTCAGGCACCTGCTGCGGCCAGGGGGTGCTGACCCCACTCCCGGCCGCTCCCATTCCCAGCCCACTCCCGAAACTCTCGTAGCTCCAGCGGGTGTCACACTGAGGAACTCGGAAGCGAAGGCTGCTTTGCAGGGCCTCCGCGTGGGGCAGGTCTGCTGGAGCTTCGGAGGCAGTCGCCTGCCCTGGCCCGTAAAGCTTCTCCAGGAGTGGCCAGAGACCCAGAGCTGGAAGGTGCAATTCCTTGGGGCAGAGGAGAGAGAGGAGAAAATCTCGGTGGCATGCCTACGGCCGTACATGGAAGGAGACTCTGCCGTTTTAGCGGGCGTACTAAAGACTGCGGAGGAAGAGCATGCTAAATGCTGTGAAGCTGCCGCCGAGAAAGCCTGGGCCAGCTGAAACGCAGCGACCGAGGCTGTGTAGGCTTTGGCGCCAAGCTCCGGAGCAAGAGGGCGACCCTTAGCACCTCCAGACCGCCTGCAAGTTTCGAGTCGCTGCTACAGCGGCACACGTAAGCCCAGACACCGCCTTGAATCAGAAGATCAGGCCCTCTGGCTGTGAACCGCATGCAACTCCAGGCATTGTTGATAGTACCGCGAGCCAAGACGGAAGAGCAAAACATAGAAGATCCTCTCTGCAAGGGTTCCAGTACTACTGTTCGCCAGCAACCGTACCTTAGACAAGGCCTGCCCCAGACCTGAGCCGCTGAAAATGCTGCGGATTCGTACGTTTGTAATGTAGTCTTGCGTCATGCGTGCTGCAGCTGACCCCTTCAACAAGTGAGCCTAGTGAGCTGTAGCATCCATCGGAAGCGGTAATTAAGGCCCTCGGAAGGATAACGGTTAAATAGTTGAGTGAGGGACGCGGTTGGCAATTGTGGTTTACTGTGGTTGTTGGCGGCCCTCCCCAAGTCCTCTGGAAAAGAGCCTTCAGAAAAGAAGGCACTCGGATTCTGGTACCCTCAGGCTCAAGCCCCTTCGATGCGATCCAGGCTGCCTCAAAGCGGCCGCTTCCTACGGTGCGCCTTGAGCAGATCCTCCAGGCCAAGGGTCGCAGCGTGCTTCAGAATTGGAGCCTTCAATAGGCTGCGGGGTACCCTTGACGGGTCCTTACAGTGAGGATCCTAGTGCTTGGGCATGTCTTAGAATTCGAACTAGCAGTTGCCTTTTTAGGTTTAACTGGGAACCTGTACTACTCAGGGTCGATATTGGGGCCCCGTGCTTATAACGTGTCTCCAAGTAGCTTTACCATAGATGCCGTAGTGTCTTACAATGCAGCGGTTTTATGCAGCAGACTCCTCCATCAATCGTCACCTTGGTTCGTAACGAGGTCAACGTCACTTGAGTGTGGCAAGCGCGGAGCTGTAAAGTGAAATAAAAGCTTTAGTTCATCAGGTCAGGGGGTTTCGGTCAGGGAAAGCCTGCAATGCCTGCACATGCACTGCAAAGATTTCGGCACACTCGGGCTTTGGTGCTTGTGGATACAAGGTCGGCTTCTATCACAGTCCATTTGCTTCGCTCTGCCTCGTGTTGGAAAGCTGAAGCGGTGTCGACTTTCTGTAGGACGACGGGATCTGAGACCTGCAGAATTCGGCCCCGTCTGTTTTGCTGCACGTTGCGTCTGAGGCCACGACCTGTCGACTGAAGGCAAATAAACCGTTTCAGGTTCGATTAATTATAATTGATGCAACAAAGAAAACTAATCTGGCCGAATAATTACTACTGAACTGAGGTATCCAAGAAGTGCCATTGCTGCTGTTGTCTAACGCCCTCTGAAGGAATATGTGTGGCTGATGGTGGACATGATAGCACTTTATGGACCCGAAGAGACCACTCAAAGTTTTCATATCTGATGCCGCTGCAGTATTGACAATCCGACATTATCCAACGGTCGGAGACTCCATCAATCTGAATTCTTGATGAAAGCCAGGACTCTGCTTTTCCAGAAGAGGTGCTTGTGAAACGGCTTGGGGGAGAGGAGATTTTGCTTCAATGTTTAGGCTTTGCGAGTGGCGGTTGAAGATTGATTGAAGGGATGTTCAAAGGAGTTTACTTTGTTACACCATTCGGACTGGCAAGTGGATATTCGGAAGAGCTCGCAGTCATCTGCAGCATGTACGTTAGCCTGAACCGGGGATGGTGGCTTACAATTGCTGCTTCCAGGTCCAGGACGCAGAGCTTCAGAAACCATGAGAATTGAGATTTGGAGTTCGTGGCGCGGTGATGCCAATACTGACTGACACGCAGCGTCCAGAGCTGCGATCATTCAGCGATAAACCTGGCAGCTACAAAGACTCCGAAGATGCTTGCCCAGGTTCGTGAAATCCCTCACCCCTGCTCCCTTGTGTGGTCATACTTGTCTCCAAAGCTCCAGGTCCTGGACGGCTCCAACCAGTGGATGTGCCCCCGCTGCGACCGCAAGGCGTGAGCTGCAAGCATGTTGAGGAATGCCTTGTACGGCGCGGTTGAAGCTGTGGCTCGAGCTGAGCTTACGAAGATCTGATGTTGGCGTATGTGCCGACAATAACTTGAAAGGAGCAATTGGATCATTGATGTGTTGAACACCACGCTATAGACTCCAATATTTCAACTTCTTGAAGTGTGGCCCGGTAGCTTTCCGTTTTGGGCGGAGCGATTGACAGAGGCACAGGACTTGAGTTTCGAGAGTTGCAAAACCAGGTACTCTAAGATTCTGCAGTGGTCAAGCCAAGATAGTTGCGCTATCAGGTACACCGTTACACAGTTGCACTGGCTGGCAAGGAGTCTTACCGTCTTACCCTTAATCTCTATTTGGTTGAAAGCAAAAGCTCCAGGTGGATGCCCGGCGGACCACCCGGCTGTCGAAGCTTCCCCCCTACCTTCATGTGACGGTGGAGAGGCCCGCATGCAGCCCATAGAGAGGCAAACCAAGATCTTGACTTCCAAGCTTGACACCCTGAACTCGGAGCCCCGTCCTAAACAGCCCTTAACCCTGCAATCTGCAAGCTTGAAGCGCCGTTTCGCTTGTGCCTGCCGGAACACACTTAAGTTCACTGGAATCAGGTAAAGGTATCACGGTTGCTACCGTACCCTTGATGCACGATTCTTGCGAGTCAAAGGCTCTGTGTCTCCCGAAACCTCAGCAAGCCAAGCAACGACAACATTCCAGCCCCAAATTTGAGCAACTGTTTTACATCGGCGATGTGGTGAAAGCCCACGCAGGCTTTGTTCTGCAGGGTTTTTGTGGCTGCCGTTTGCAATGCTTCATTTGGAAGGGGTTCGGATGTTGTTCTGCAACGCGGCGGGCTCGATGCCCAGGGGCTGAACTCACACAGCAAGCCAGGAAGCAAAAGCCACAGAGACAGACACCGACACAGGAAGACACCCGCCCGTGAGAAGAAGCAGAAGCAGAAGATGCATAGAGATCTTAACATGTTGATTTTGTTCTGCTCCCGATAAGACTGCCTTTACTTCGTGCCCGGTTCTTCTCTTTTGCGCGTCACCGCAGACTCGCGCGTGTGACCGTGTAAGCTACTTACATGGAGCATGTGGGCGGAACGACCACGACTTCTCAGAGTCAGGAAGAAGGTGAGGCACAGGGATAGAGAAAAAGAGAGAAACTGAGTGTAGTGGAACCGTTCCCGAGCGAAAAGGTGCAAACACATTGCTCATTTTGTCACCGACTTGAGGATTGCTGATTTCTTTGCCCATTGTCTTTGTGTTCCCTATCAGCAAACCTCTGCTACAGCCTGAGTCTCTATCTTAATCCCAACATCGACACGCTGCTTAATATGAAAATTGATTCGTTTGGCCTCACAAGTGCCAGATACCACTTCGATGCTGCTACCGCAGAGCGTCGGCGTTTGGCTCATCCGGTGTCCTTTCCGCGGGTGCCTTACTTTCGCGGGTTCTGGTGTTTGGTCTGTGCAGCATGGAAACTCCCGGGAACCCGAAACTCTAACCCTTGAGGCGGAGACTGGAGCTCAAGCTGGCAGGCTCCCTAGCAGGCAGCGAGGCCTGCAAGGGACGTATTTACGGCTTCGGGGCTCAAGGGGTTCACTTATTTTCATTGTCTCAAGTACTATAACAACTACAACAATCATCTGTTAGCTGTCGTGCATCCCTATCGTTACGATTTTTCTTTAAAGCTGTAGTAATTTTCGTTTGGGTGTACGCCATACTCAGTACAGTATACAGACGGCGTGGGTATCTCCGTCTGTCTCTGTCTGTCTATGTCTGTCTATGTGTTTGGGCGTCAGCGTGTGTCTGCTCGGCTCGTGTGTGTTGTTTGCAATGTTGTTGTTGGTCGGTCTC